AATTTCGATTGATATATTCTGTCACAGAAATGCGCAATAACTGTTTTTCACTCGATAACCTTAAAATAATTCTAATTCTACGAAAATATGATCCAGTGTTTTATCATACAATGGTTAAACGGTTAACCTTGAATTGTACGGAATTTTCTTCGGGTTCCTAGTAGACATTTATGCCACCCACACACCAACTAAATTCCTCACCATTTCCTTTAACATAAATATTTATCACATCAATAAAACACATGTCATAAACATGGCTGACGTAATAATATATTTTATAAACAGGATGGGTATAAAATCCGGATCAAGATTTATTACCCCTACGATTTTTTGTAGTTTTACAATTCGAGTTAAAGTAGAGCACAGGTAAAAAGGGAGAAAAGGGTATTAAAAAACCAAGGTTCTTCAAGCGACCTTGACTCCTAGCCACAATTTGAGTAGGATTCTAATAATCTTTACAGGTAGTGACTATTATTACCTAATTTGTATATATATTTCGAAAACAATCTGTAGAAGGCATCATTTACACAACATCAGTCAAAGCGTTAACAAACCAAATATATAGCGATAAAATGGCTGCTCTCAACTACAAAAGAAAATTCAACGAAATGGAAATTAAAGAAAATGTCATTACTGCCGATATGATTTTGAAACAAGCCCAACGGAATACCATCATGGAAGGACGGCAATCTCCTCCTTGCAAAAGAAGACAAACAAAATCTCTATTCAGACCTTGGGAGGATAATGCTGAAAAATCTACATCTGCCTTCAAACCGCAACAGAAGACAGCAAAATCACCCAAAATTCAACATCCTCTACGCAAATCTGGTAACCAAAATACTGCAATTCTCCGTTCGGCATTGGAACAACAAAGATTGAGTCCTAGTATCCAGTCCCCTCCTCTAAGTTGTCCAACAGCTATTGACAACAGCTATTGCAACAATATTATTTGGCCCAACTGCAACAACAACAGCAACAATATGCCCTTTGGATGGAACAATCTTATCTAGCCAATAATTATTTGAGATATTTGCAACAAATTGCCCTGCAGCAACAACAGCTTTTCGTTTTTGGTCAACAGCATTAGAAGATGGATATGTGGAAAGATTGGCCAACCTGTGTTAGAAAAATCAAATCTTAGAAAGATTTTGAATATTAATTTAAGAAAACTGTGATAATAGACAATTAAGTTAAATTATTTATAAATATAAAAAATACATTTCATATATAAAAAAAAAATTTATTTTATATTTAATAATATTTAATATCAATATTTATTGAGAGACTATTAAGAAGCGTGGGCTCTCTAAAATATTGTTTGAAGGTGTATTGGAAGTCTGCATATTAAGGATTTTTTAAAATATTTTTTCTAGGACTTTTAATAGTAGTGGATTTAAAATATAAATATTTTTCAAGGACTATTAATAGGCGTGGATTTTTATACCCTACACAACTATGTTGTCAGGTTATTATAGTTTTGTGCAGCCCCAAAAGTTTATAACGCCGCGAAATATTGGTCCTAGACCCACCTTCAAGTATACCGATCGTCATATCTCGACTAGCTGAGTCGATAATTTGTTAACACGATAAATGCCGCAGTTATGGACCAATCTTTACGAAATTTTGCATATAGGATGGGTTCTGCCCAATGAAGACCCCTATTGTTTTTGGTAAATATCGGTTAATATTTAGGGGATGAAATGAACCAAATTCTTAATTTTTGTCCGTTTTTCTGCTCGTTCCATGGAGAACGGGTTCGGGCTAAATAATGAGCATGCATGTTTTGATAAAGATTGGTCTATATTTAGCGGGGCAAATGGACTCTGACTTTTGTGTGAAAAATTACAAAATTTGTATTCTATATTCTTGATAGTATATCCAAGAGGAGTGTTTGACCTTTAAATTGATACCAATTATATGGTCGTATGTACCCAGAAGTGGGAGTTACAATTAAATATTTACAGGTGCTTACGTACTCAGATATTATTTAGTAGTCCATTACCATACTAGATGGCGGAAATATAGCGCTGATCGGTTTGAAATGTTCCCTGAGATTCCAGTTATGGTCAAGGACAACGCCTATAACTTTCGGTGATGATCAGGTAATAATTTTGGGATGAAGTGGGTCGAAAACTTATTTTGTTGTGTTTTTTCGATTCGATATATAGGCCACAATTGAAAGCCGAACATCACAGCACAATGCACGGTGAAGGGAATCTGGACAAGTAATTAGAAGTGTTGTACCGAATATTAGTAATATTTGTTGACATCTAGTCGGTCAAGAGGGTCCAAATATCCCGAAATATTGCCCAAGCTCAGACTATATTTAGATTTTCGTGGAAGTTGTGTAGGGTATCATATGGTCGGCCCCGTCCGACTATACTGCTCCGCTCACTGGATTAAAAAATATTTTGTCATGAACGTGGATTTTTTAACAATATTATGTCAAGGACAAGTAATGGGCGTGGATTTTTAAGAATATTTTTCTAGGATTATTAATAGACGCGGATTTATTAAAAGTATTTTTTCAAAAGTCTATTAATCAGAGCCCGGAATTTTTGATATTTTTCAATGCCAAATTCAGATGGATTGTCATACTAATTAAATTCAGTATATGATTACCTTTACTAATATTTGCGCAAATGAGAACTAATATTTATTTTATAGATAGTAAGTCATAAAATAAATATTTTCCGGAACCTAAAATTAAAATTCGATGGTATATGACAGATAATAAAAAAAGGCTCGTGAGGGACAAAGGTACATATAATTACATTTAAAAACTTATACCTGTGCCGTATATTCCATTTGCTCGAATTGTGGACGAAAGTCAAGGTCTTTGAAAAGGGTATTTTTGTTAATCACCTCTGCCATAAGTGTTTGTAAAAAACATGTTTACAACACCTGAGTAATAAATATTTACGATCATAAGGACTTTTATGATCAACCTCCTGTATTAGAAGAATACTTGGAATTCGAATTTGCCTTGGGTATATTTTATGTGGAATTGTTAAATATTTTTTTATTTCAGGAAATAGTCAATGAGCAATAAAAATATACATAAATGGATGCTATGTTTTATATGATATATAAAACAATTTTATAGGGATTATTACAAAAGAGATACTGGAAGGGTATCTTATAATTACACCGGATATTAGTTTTTTTCAGATAGGATATTGAAAATTATTAAAATGTTCATTTTTACTATCATAATAATTAAAAAAAGGCTTATATCTCTGCTAGTCCTCTGAAAATAATCTTAGAAAACCAAGCTCTTTACTACCGATGTTCTTTGAAAATATTCCTTAAAAACTCCAATTAATTGCCTTAATTGCCGTTATAGCTTATGCTGCAATATTCCTTAAAAATGTTATATTAAAATATCATTTTTTATTCCAATAGACCTTCTAAATGTATATTTAAAAAGCCACGCATATTTCTCTTTCAATCCTTCGAGAAGTATAAACAAAAAATACTCTTCTAGCTCTGATAGTCCTTTGTAATATATATATATATTAAAAAGCATGGTTCTCGCTCTACATTGCCTTTGAAACACATTCTCTAAAAAGCCACGGCAATGACTCTGCTAGTCCTTTAAAAAATATTCTTACAAAATTCAAACTTATAACTCTGCAAATCATCTGAAAAATCATATAAAAACTTTTGAAATTTCTACTTCCTTTGTAAATTATTTTTGTAAGAAATCCCTGCTCTATAGCTCTACAAGTCCTTAGGAAATATTCTTCAAAAATCCACACTTATAAGTTTCATGGCCGTTTTCCTGTACCACTCTTAAAAATTTTGCTCAATATAATTCTACGAACATTAGATCTTTTAGCCACCTTTCCAATAGCTCCACTAGTCCTTTGAAAATATTCTTTAAAAATCCATACATATGATTCTACCAGACCTTGGAATAATATAACTTCAATAAACCTGCTGATAGTCCTTGGAAAAATATTCTTTAACAAAATCCAAGCTTATAACGTAGCAAGTCCTTTGAAAATGTATTCTTTACAATTTCACGTCCTTCGAAAAATATTCTTTCCAAAATCTCATACCTATGGCCCTAATAGACCCTTTTCAAATATTCTTCAAAATTCACACTTATAGCTCAACTGATGGTTGTCAAGTAAAGTTGTCTTAAAAATATTGCACACTGTTATTCCACGAACATTAGATCTTTAAGTATGCTTTGCCAATAGCTAAGTGGTTCACCTTGGATTTTGTGGAAATAATGTGTCCTCAGAGTAATTATTTTTATTAAATCCGCCCATCCACACTCACCAACCATATTCCAGTTGATTTCCTTCAACATAAATATTTATCACATCAATAAAACACATGTCATAAACATGACTGACGTAATAATATATTTTATAAACAGGATGGGTATTAAAATTTCGGATCAGGATTTATAACCCACACAACTTTCTTGTACCTTTACGATACGAGTTAAAGTAGAGCGCCATGTTTTAGAAATATTCAAATCTACGCTTATGACTCGAATGATCGTTGTGTTCTATAATTGTCTTAAAAATGTTGCACAGTGTAATTCCTTTAAGTATTCTTTGCCAATAGCTAAGAGGTTGACCTTGGATTTTGAGGAAATTTTGTGTACTCTGAGTATTTATTTTTAGTTAATCCGACCATCCACACTCACTACCCATATCTCTGATCATTTCCTTCAACATAAATATTTATTACATCAATAAAACCTCTACCATAAATATGACTGACGTAATAATATATTTTATAAACAGGATGGGTATTAAAAATCCGGATCAGGATTTATAACCCACACAACTTTTTTGTACATTTACGAGTCGAGTTAAAGTAGATGACTTTCACCCACAATTTGAGCAAAATTTGAGTTATATTTACAGTTAACGACTATTTTTACCTAATTTGTATATATATTTCGAAACCAATCGGTAGAATGCATCATTTACAAATCATCAGTCAAAGCGTTAAGACAAAAATAACACATATCAAAAATGGCTGCCCTCAACTACAAAAGAAAATTCAACGAAATGGAAAATAAAGAAAATCTCATTACTGTCGATATGATTTTACAACAAGCCCAAAGGAATGCCACCATGGAAGGACGGCAATTTCCTCCTTCCAAAAGAAGGCAAACTAAAGCCCTGTTTAGACCCTGGGAAGATAATGTTGAAAAATCGACAACTGTCTCCAAACCCCAACAGAAGACAACAAGAACGCCGAAAATCCAACACCCTCTTCGCAAAGCTGTTAACCAAAATACTGCAATTCTACGCTCCGCCTTGGAACAACAAAGATTGAGTCCTAGTATTCCAACCACTCCAGTTATTCGTCCAAATGAACAACAGCTACTGCAACAATATTATTTGGCCCAACTGCATCAACAACAGCAACAATATGCCCTTTGGATGGAACAATCTTATCGAGCAAATAACTATTTGAGATATTTGCAACAAATTGCGATGCAACAACAACAGCTCTTCGTTTTTGGTCAACAGCATTAGAAAAATGTGATGCAAAATAGGAATACAAGGGCCAAAGGTCGATTAAATCTTACAGATCTATAAAATCTTATAGATATACAAATTATTTATTATTTTAAGAACACTGTGATAATATATATTTAAGTTAAATTATTATTAAATTAAAAACATTATTATTTATGGAAACCTAACATCTTTTGTATTTTTGGGGAGCGACACTACTAAGTTGCAGGGTGGAACATAAAAATCCGAGGTGGTCCTGTGGAAAATAGTATTTTAATAATAATTAAATATTATTATTAGTACTTGAAAAAATGTTAACAGATTCGTTCCGAATTCTACTAGCGCTGGAAAAAATATTAAAAAAAATCCACTTTTATTAATAGTCCTGGAAAAAATATTTGTGGTTATTATAGTTATTCAAAAAATGTTTTTAACAAATTCACACCTATTACTAGTCCTCGAAATAATATTTTTAAACAATCTATGCTTTTAATGGTCATGGAAAAACATTTTAGAGACCCCACGCATATTAATAGTCTTCGAAAAAAATGTTAAAAAATCCACCCCATTCTTGAAAAAAAAAAAAATTTTTTTAAACCAGCGAGTGGAACAGTATAGTCGGAAGGGGCGGACCATACGATACCCTACACAACTACCACGGAACACTCACTTCCTGTGGCTGTGGCTGGACAATATATCGAGATAGTTGTACCCTCTTGCCCAATTAGAGGTCAACAGCACCTATTCCTTACACTGACATATTTTCCGAATATTACTTATATTCAGTACAGTCCTTCTAATTATTTGTCCATATTCCCTTCACCATGGGTTGTGATGTTGTGATGCTCGGCTTATAGATCGACTCGAAAAAAAAAAAAAACACAAAAAAACCAGTGAGCGGAACAGTAAGTCGGACGATACGATACCCTACATAACTACCACCGAACCTGGTCTTTATTTCGTGATATACAGCACCTCTTCGTATTACTAATATTCAGTACAGTCCTTCTAATTACTTGTCGATATTCCCTTCACCGTGGGTTGAGATGTTTTGATGCTCCGCTTATAATTGTGGCCTACAGATCGGCAAAAAAACACAAAAAATATAAGTTTATGGTCCAATTCATCACAAAATTAGTATCTGATCATCCATCGAAAATTATAGGCGTTGTCCTTGACCATAACAGGAACCCCATGGAACATTTCAAAGCGATCAGCGCTGTATTTCCGTCCTCCAGTGTGGTAATGGATTACTAAATAATATCTGAAAACGTAAGCACCTGTAAATATTATAAGTGTAACTCCCACAACCGAGTACATACGACAATATAATTGGTATCAATTTAAAGGCTTGAATACACTATCAACTTCGCGGGTCTATCTCCTTCAGGGGTAAATATATACGCTATAGAATACAAATTTTGTAATTTTTCACACAAAAGTCAGGGTCCATTTGACCCGACCTTTATGAAGCCATGCCTGCTTATTCTTTGGCCCGACCTCCTTCTCCATTAAAAAATCGCGATGTTTGGACCATAATTGCGGCCTCTGAAGCAACCAGAAAACCGGACAAAAATTAAGTAGTTGGTCCATTTCATCCCTAAATGTTCACCGATCTTTACCAAAAGCAATAGGAGTCTTCATTGGTCAGAACCCATCCTACATGCAACATTTTGTGAATATTGGTCCATAAATGTGGCCTGTATCGTGTTTACAAATTATAATGGAAAGACGGACGGACGGACACACATGTCTAGATCGAGTCAGCTAGTCAAGATATGAGGATCGCTATACTTAAAGGTGGGTCTATGACCAATATTTCGCGGCGTTACAAACTCCTGGGGCTATAATACCCTGACAACATAGATGTGTAGGACATACTAACCCATGCTTCTTAATAGTCCTTGAAAAAAATATGTTTAAAAATTCACGCCTATTAATATTCCTTGAAAAAAAATGTCCACGCTTGAAGATATTTAAAAAAATCCAGTCTTTTAATAGTCCTAGAACAAATATTGTTAAAAAAAGCGCATAATAGTCTTCGAAAAAATATACATTTAAAAAATCCACGAATTTTAATAGTGTCTCTTAAATAGTCCTCCAAAATATATATTTTTAAATACGACGCAGACTCATAATACCTCAAAAAATATGTTAAATATGGCGACTTCTAATACACCTTCAAATAATATTTTAGATAGCCCACACTTCTTAATAGTCTCTCAAAAATTATTGACATTAAAAATTATTAGCGAATCAATGAAAAACAAAACAAGTTTTTTTTTAATGAATTGTATTTTTTTTTATAATTTATAAATAATTTAAATTAATTATCTATTATCACAGTTTTCTTAAATTAATATTCAAAATCTTTCTAAGGCTTGAATTTTCTAACACAAATTAGCTCCTCATTCGACATGTCCTTTTGTCTAATGCTGTTGACCAAAAACGAAGAGCTGCTGTTGTTGCAGGGCAATTTGTTGCAAATATATCAAATAGTTATTGGCGCGATACGATTGTTCCATCCAAAGGGCATATTGTTGCTGTTGTTGATGCAGTTGGGCCAAATAATATTGTTGCAATAGCTGTTGTTCATTTGGACGATTTGCTGGTGTGGTCGGGATACTAGGACTCAATCTTTGTTGTTCCAAGGCAGAGCGGAGAATTGCAGCATTATTTTGGTTAACAGCTTTGCGAAGAGGGTGTTGGATTTTAGATGTTTTTGTTGTCTTCTGTTGGGGTTTGGATACAGTTGTTGTTGATTTTCCACTATTTTCTTCCCAGGGTCTAAACAGGGCTTTAGTTTGCCTTCTTTTGGAAGGAGGAGATTGCCGACCTTCCATGGTGGCATTCCTTTGGGTTTGTTGTAAAATCATATCGGCAGTAATGAGATTTTCTCTATTTTCCATTTCGTTGAATTTTCTTTTGTAGTTGAGGGCAGCCATTTTTTGCTATGTGTCTTTTTTGTCTTAACGCTTTGACTGGTGATTTGTAAATGATGCATTTTTCAGATTTTTCCGGAATATATACAAATTAGGTAATAATAGTTGCTACCTGTAAATATCATTTGAAGTTTGCTCAAATTGTGGGCTAGAGTCAAGGCCGCTTAAAGAATCTTATTTTTTAATACCCTTTTCATCCCTTTTTACCTGTGATCTACTTTAACTCGACTCGTAAATGTACAAAAAAGTTGTGTGGGTTATAAATCCTGATCCGGATTTTTAATACCCATCCTGTTTATAAAATATATTATTACGTCAGTCATATTTATGGTATGTGTTTTATTGGTGTGATAAATATTTATGTTGAAGGAAATGATCAGGGGTTTGGGTAGTGAGTGTCGATGGGCGGATTAAATAAAAAGATTTACTATGAGGACACAAAATTTCCACAAAATCCAAGGTCAACCGCTTAGCTATTGGCAAAGAATACTTAAAGGAATTACACTGTGCAACAGTTTTAAGACAATTATAGAACACAACGATCATTCGAGTCATAAGCGTAGATTTGAATATTTCTAAAACATGTACCTTTACGATACTTTAACTCGTATCGTAAAGGTACAAAAAAGTTGTGTGGGTTATAAATCCTGATTCGGATTTTTAATTCCCATCCTGTTTATAAAATATATTATTACGTCAGTCATGTTTATGGCATGTGTTTTATTGATGTGATAAATATTTATGTTGAAGGAAATAAACTGGGATATGGTTGGTGAGTGTGGATGGGCGGATTTAATAAAAATAATTACTTTGAGGACACATTATTTCCACAAAATCCAAGGTGAACCACTTAGCTATTGGCAAAGCATACTTAAAGATCTAATGTTCTTGGAATAACAGTGTGCAATATTTTTAAGACAACTTTACTTGACAACCATCAGTTGAGCTATAAGTGTGAATTTTGAAGAATATTTGAAAAGGGTCTATTAGGGCCATAGGTATGAGATTTTGGAAAGAATATTTTTCGAAGGACGTGGTTTTGTAAAGACTAATTTTCAAAGGACTTACTACGTTATAAGCTTGGATTATTTTAAAGAATATTTTTCCAAGGGCTATTAGCAGTTTTATTGCAGTTTTTTTATTCCAAGGTCTGGTAGAATCATATATATGAATTTTTGAAGAATATTTCCTAAGGACTTGTAGAGCTATAGAGCAGGGATTTCTTAAAAAAAAAAATAATTTTCAAGAGACGTAGAATTTTCAAAAGTTTTTATAATATTTTTCAGATGATTTGCTGAGTTATAAGTTTGAATTTTTAAGGATATTTTTTAAAGGACTAGCAGAGCCATTGCCGTGGCTTCTGGCAATGTAGAGCGAGAACCATGCTTTTTAATAATATATTTTACAAAGGACTATCAGAGCTATAAGCGCGTTTTTTAATAATACTTTTCAAAGGACTGGAAAAGAAATATGCGTGACTTTTTAAAGATGTATTTAGAAAGACTATTGGAATAAAAAATGATATTTTAATATAACATTTTTAAATGACTATTGCAGCATAAGCTTTAACGGCAATTAACTTGGATTTTTTAAGGAATATTTTCAAAGAACATCGGTAGTAAAAAGCTTGGTATTCTAAGATAATTTTCTGAGGACTAGCAGAGATATAAACCTTTTTTAATTATATTGATAGTAAAAATTAACACTTTAATAATTTCCAATATCTTATCAGAAATATCCGGTGTAATTAGAAGACTTCCAGTATTTCTTTTATAATAATCCCCATAAAAATTTTATATAATTCATATAAAACATAGCATCTATTAACGGATATTTTATGGTTCTTATACCATTTCCTGAAATTAAAAAAAAAACATATTTAATAATTCCACATAAAATATACCCAAGGCAAATTCGAATACCAAGTATTCTTCTAATACAGGAGGTTGATCATAAAAGTCCTTATGATCGTAAATATTTATTACTCAGGTGTTGTAAACATGTTTTTTACAAAAAAAAAGAATATGGCAGAGGTGATTAACAAGAAATACCCTTTTCAAAGACCTTGACATTTGT